ATGTGACCTGCAAACAGGACAGAAAGACAATTTACAGAGCAGAAGACTGAGAAGTATTAATCGAAAGGGAACTGTACTAGCTGTTTTTCTCCTCTGTGGAAGCAAATGACAACATCTTCTACATAAAATGGCGTTACACCCTGACATTGTTGGGCAGAAATATACTAGCTATGTTTGGTTATGAATTAGTAACCACATCTAAGAATAAGTCATAAAGTGATTGGTGTTGAAATATTGCAACAGTGTCAACCAGATCTGCTTTTTCTGTCATTGAAGCAGGTTTGGAAGTTGTCTTGTTTTAAATAACAATTGGAAAGGCATGCACTTTTATAATGTTTAAAACAAAGGCTTGAAATTACTCATATCACTGGAAGGATTATACAGGGATGTTTAACTTTTTTTTACTCCTTATTAAAAAAAAAACTAAAAATGTTCATTTAAGAACCACTTTGGAATCTCCTAGAGCACTTTTCAGCCAGTGAAATACTTTAGAAGTGAAGTCGCTATTCTACTTTTTTTTATTTATTCATTTTGTGGGATGTGGGCATTCCTGCCTGGCCAACACTTATTGCCCGTCCCTAGTTGCCCTTGAGAAGGTGGTGGTGAGCTGCCTCCTTGAACTCCTGCAGTCCACCAGCTGTGGGTTGACCCACAGTGCCTTTAGGGAGGGAATTCCAGGATTTCAGACAGTGACAGTGAAGGAACGGCAATATATTTCCAGGTCAGAATGGTGGGTGGCTTGGAGGGAACTTGAAGGTGATAGCGTTCCCATGTATCTGCTGCCCTCGTCCTTCCAGATGGAAGTGGCCATGGGTTTGGAAGGTGCTGTTGAGGATCCTTGGTGAATTTCTGCAGTGCATCTTGTAGATAGTACACACTGCTGCTACTGAGCGTAGGTTGTGGATGTAGTACCAATCAAGTGAGCTACTTTCTCATGGATGGCGTCAAGCTTCTTGCGTGTTGTTGGGACTGCACTCATCCAGGCAAATGGGGAGTATTCCATCACACCCCTGACTTGTGCCTTGTAAATGGTGGACAGGCTTTGAGGAGTTAGGTGAGTTACTCACCACAGTATTCCTAGCCTCTGAATTGCTCTTGTAGCTACTGTGTTTATATTCTGAATCCATTTGAGTTTCTGATCAATAACTCTCAGGATGTTGATAGTAGGGTTTCAGTGATGGTGACACCATTGAATGTCAAGGGGCGGTGGTTAGATTGTCTCTTGTTGGTGATGGTCGTAGCCTGGCATTTGTACAGTGTGAATGTTACTTGCCACTTGTCAGCCCAAACCTGGGTATTGTCCAGATCTTGTTGCATATGGACGCAGACTGCCTCAGTGTCTGAGAAGCTACAAATGATGCTGAACATTGTGCAATCATTGGCGACCCCCCCCCGCCCACCAACTTCTGACCTTATGATGGACAGAAGGTGGCTGATGCCGCGGCTGAAAATGTTTGGGCCTAGGACACTACCCTGAGTACCCCCTGCAGAGATGTCCTGGAGCTGAGATACCGACCTCCAACTGCCACGACCATCTTCCTTTGTGTCAGGTATGATTCCAACCACCAAAGCGTTTGCCCCCTGATACCCATTGATTCCAGTTTTGCTAAGGCTCTGTGATGCCACACTCTGTCAAATGCAACCTTGATGTCAAGGGCTGTCACTCTCACCTCCCCTCTGGAAGTCATCTCTTTTGTCCATGTTTGAACCAAGGCCGTATTGAGGTCAGGAGTTGAGTGGCTCTGGTGGAGCCCATACTGGGTGTGACTAAGCAGGTGCTGCTTGATAGCACTGTTGATGACGCTTTCCATCATTTTAATGATGATCGAGAGTAGACTGACGGGGTAGTATTTAGCTGAGTTGGATTTGTCCTGCTTTTCATGAACCAGAAACACTTGGGCACTTTTCCACATTGTGGGGTGGATGTCAGTGTTGTAACTGTAATGGAAAAGCTTGGCTAGGGGAGCGGCAAGTCTGGAGCACAAGTCTTCAGTACTATTGCCGAAATGTTATCAAGGCCTGTAGCCTTTGCAGTATCCAGTGCTTCCAACCATTTCTTGATATCACATGGAGTGAATCGAATTGGTTGGAGACTGGTATCTGAAATGTTGGGGACCACTGGAGGAGGCCGAGATGGATCATTCACTCAGCATTTCTGGCTGAAGATTGCTACAAATGCTTCAGCCTTATCTTTTGCACTGATGCGCTGGGCTCTCCCATCGTTGAGGATGGGGATGTTTGTGGAACCTCCTCTTCCAGTGAGTTGTTTCGCTGTCTATCATTTGCTTGTGTTGTTTGGCATGCAAGTAGTCCTGGCTTCACCAGGTTGACACCTTGTCTGCAAGTATCCCTTGTTGCTGCTCCTGGCATGCCCTCCTGCACTCTACATTGAACCAAGGTTGATACCCTGGCTTGATGGTAATGGTTGAGTGGGGGTATAGTGGGCCATGAGGTTACAGATTTGTGTTGGAGTACAGTCCTGCTGCTGTTGATGGTCCACAGCACCTCATGGATGCCCAGTCTTGAGTTGTTAAATCTGTTCAGTCTGTCTCATTTAGCACGGTGATAGTGCCACACGATATGATGGAGGGTATTATCAATATAAAGGCGGGACTTCATCTCCAAAAGGACTGTGCAGTGGTTGCCCTTAATAATACTGTCATGGACAGATGCATCTGCAGCTGGCAGATTAGTAAGGATGAGGCCAGATATGTTTTTCCCTCTTGATGGTTCCCTCACCATATGCTGCAGACTCAGTTCAGCAACTGTGTCTTTTAGAACCTGACCAGCTTGATCAGTAGTGCTGCTGCTAAGCCAGTCTTGGTGGTGGACATTGGAATCCACTACCTAGAGTACATTTTGTGCCCTTGCCATCCTCAATGCTTCCTCCAGGTGTTGTTCAACATGAAGGTGTACCGATTTATCAGCTGAGGGAGGACGGTATGTGGTAATCAGCAGGAGGTTTCCTTACACATGTTTAACCTGAAGCCTCGAGACTTCATGGGGTCTGGAGTCAATGTTGAGGACTTGCAGAGTAATCCCTCCTGACTGTATACCACTGTGCTGCTACCTCTGCTGGGTCTATCCTGCCAGTGAGACAGGACGTGTTCAGGGATGGTGATGGTGGTGTCTGCAACATTGTCTGTAAGGTATGATCCCATGAGCATGCCTATGTCAGGCTGTTGCTTGACTAGTCTGTAAGACAGCCCTTCCAATTTTGGCACTAACCCCCCAGGTATTAGTGAGGACAACTTTGCAGTGTCGACAGGGCTGTTTCTGCCGTTGTCTTTTCCAGTGCCTAGGTTGATATCTGGTGATCCATCTGGTTTCATTTGTTTGAGACTTTGGCACAATTGAATGGCTTACTAGACCATTTCAGAGGGCAATTGAGAGTCACAAGTAGGCTAGACGAGGTGAGGATGGCAGATTTCCTTCCTTGAAGGACATTAGTGAACCAGATGGGTTTATCCAACAATCGACAATGGTTTCATGGTCATCATTAGATTGCCTTTCTTACTATTTGTAATATTTGTAGAGGAGTCAGTTTTCTAAAGTTTATTTTAAAAAAATTAAGTGAAAGCAGATATTACTATTGAAAATCTTGATTTTTGGTGTATGTATATGTTAATTTGATGCATTATTTACATCATTAATTTTCTAGATTTTTGTCATGCTAGACACTATTTTGAAAAATTGATTTATATTAACTTAGTGTACAAATTACAGCCTGTTGATTATCATTATATTGAACCAACATATTCAGTACAATTCACAGTATTGTGCACTACTTTATTTATTTAATCTCCTGAGGGAGCCAGTTTGCTGCTGGTGAAGTTTAGCAAAAGATAATCCTGAGATTATTTTTCCTGAACAGTTCAAATTGAGGGAAAAATCCACATCACTTCAAAATTCTAAAATACATTCAGTTCTGCAAGTTGCATTTCGTTTACTTTTCTGAGAATGCTAGGAGATTTAAGGAAGTGGTTTGCATTCAGTGAAATTATTCTGCAAAGTTTGCAAGCACATTGAACCTGTATAATTTCAGGTCTTAAAGCAAAAACCTGCATGGATCGGAGATGGTAAAAGAGTTACAATAATTTTACAAAACTCTTGCTCCACAGATCATAAAATGAACAAAATGCCTGCCCAGCCTACATGTTGTGAACCTAAACAGCATTTCCTTGGATCATGATTAATTCCCAATGTACTAATTTAGATGGCCTCGATTTATCTAGTATGCCTTTTATCTTCATGTTCTGTAGCCTGTTTCTTTGCTAAGTTAGCTGCTGCAGCTTTCTGCTGGAAGTGTTTGCCTGGGGAGGCGATAGCCGAGAGGTATTATTGCTGGACTGTTAATCCACAGAGCCATTTAACGTTCTGGGGTCCTGGGTTCAAATCCCGCCAAGGCAGATGGTGGAATTTGAATTCAATAAAATATCTAGAATTAAAAATCTAATAATGACCATGAATCCATTGTCGATTGTTGGCAAAACCCATCTGGTTCACTAATGTCCTTTACCTGGTCTGGCCTACATGTGACTTTAGACCCACAGCAATGCGGTTGACTCTGAGCTACTCTCTGAGCAATTAGGAATGGGCAATAAATGCTGCCTAGCCAGCGATGCCTTCATCTTGTTAATGAATGAAGGGAAACAAAAGGCCCCAACTGATTTATCTGAAGTAGAACCACTGCAGGTTCTGTGAAAGAATTTAAGAACACATTTATGATGTGTCAAAAAACTAAATTTTTTTCCACTCATTTTAAGATCAACTGAAAAGCATCAATAAAAACAGGGAAGTCTACATGGGATACCATAAATTACAAATTGAAATTTGATGTTCTTTTTGACCATTCATGAAATATATTGTCGAGCAGGTTAAGTACTTCACAGGGACAGTGTGCTTATCAAGTAATGCATAATATTTGTGTTTGGAGAATTGTTTGAAATGTAGAGTTTAATCGATAATGGTTTGCCAAATTCATGTGTAATGTGTAACAGCTTACAGGAATCGATTCTGACTCAAGTGCAGAGAATTGTGAAAGGCGAAGTTAGCCTCGCAATGAAGGAGCAACAGGCTGTTGTTACATCCAGTATCATGCAGGCCATGCGATCAGCTGCAGGGACGCCCATTCCAACAACTCACATGGATTTCCAAACCCAGCAGGCCCACATCTTGCAGCTGTTGCAACAGGGGCAACTTAACCAAGCCTTTCAACAGGTATGAACAGAAGGTTAATTAAAGTCCAATGTTAAAAAGTGGAGGACATTGAGGGGTGAATGAGAGGGCCCTTCCTTTCTACCTCCTGTCCCTTCCCGTATCCTGGCTCTCTTCATCCCATGCTCTTTCCTGGGCTGCCATCGCCCTGCCTATCCCAGGCCCTAGTTTACGTCTCCCCGAAACCACTTAGATGTGCATGCATGAATTAAAGTGGCGCATAGCATGCATGTGCTGGTGTCAGCAAATGCAGCCAAATAGTAATGAAAGTACTGAGTAGCCTGTGCTTATTTAATTAAATATTTATTGCATGTAAATACTTTAATTTAAATTTATTATTGGTTTAACCTTGAGACAACATCTAATTTTTTAATTTTATTCTAAATTATCATACGGAATCAGGACTTAGCTATACAAGATGAAGTTATTTTGAGTCACTTTTCTTTCTGTCAGTAGCAGTCTTTACTGTGTACTAAATGCATTTGTTCAATCCATTTTGTCAGTTTACTTGTACCTCCATATTTTTGTAAGGCTGATTGTTGCAGAAGTTCTATAAGACATTTAATTTCACTACTTTTTTGAAAGTTTAGGTGATCAAATTCAATAATTCTGATTGAGATAAATTTTCTCCTTTTTGATAGTCGTAAGTTGTATGTCAGTACTTTTGTTTGAAATTATCTTTGGTCCTGAAGGATATTGCACAGTTTTAGGTTTTACATCAGTAATCACGTATCTTTTCCAGTGACCGGTGTTGGTGATGACTTTAGTCCTATCAGCTTCTAAAGCTGTGCAATATCCAGAAATGTGAAGCATGTGCAAAGTTCAGAAAAGGTTGTTCAGGATAATTCATTGGAGGTCCCTAAATGAATAATTGGAAGCATTTTTAATGTACTTGTTACATAAATTTAACTTGTAGGCTTTCACAGAGCTTTAGTATCTGACTCAGTCATTTAAAAAAACAACACAGCCTATTGATACTTCTACCTCAAAATTGAGGTAACCTAACTTTGATGTTGCATCCATATGGATATTTATGGATGAATGCTTTCTTCTTTATTAAGTGACCATTAGAAAAGATATTTTGGATCTCCTTAAGAGGAATAGTATCGAGGATTTCCATTATTTTGATCTGAATTTGAAGACTGGACTAAGCTACGTCTTTTTAAAATGAATGGCCATTTACCGCTTGATCAGAACATGTCGCTTGTTGTCTTGCCTATCTTTGCAATGACCCAGTAATATTGTTGCCCTAACCCTTAAGCTCGTAAATAACAATTCAACTTGCTGTACTTCACGTTGTGTTTATTTCCACAATAAATTGGAAAGGGAATGTCAGATTTTGTGAACTCGTGGTTATCCAAAGCTCTGCTGCCTGTGTCTTACCATTTACCAAGTCTTGATCACCTATCATACCTGTACTTTCAAGCCTACATTGGATTCTAGTTATGCAAACTTCCCCCGTATTTTCAAGTTTCTTCAGGTCCTCACCCATCCCTGTCTCTGCTATATCCTCTAGCCCTAAATTTTCTTCAAAATCATAGAATCCCTGCAGTTTTAAAAGAGGCTGTTTGGCCCATTGAGTTCTCTCTGGCCACCCAAAGAGCATCCCACCCAGACCCTGAACCCCACCCCATCCCCATACTCCTGCATTTACTATAGCTAATCCAGCTCGCCTATACATGTCTGGACACTGGGCAATTTTTAGCATGGCCAAACCACCTAACCTGCACATCTTTGGACTGTGGGAGAAAACCTTCATGGACACGGGGAGAATGTGCAACTCCACATAGACACTCGTCCAAGACTGGAATTGAACCCGGGTCCCTGGTACTGTGAGGCAGCAGTGCTAACTACTGTGCCACCTTGGCACCCCATCTGTGATATCTGTGCTCTACCATTTCTGGTCTCTTATGTTTTTAATTGTTGCACCATTGGTGACCATGCCTTTAGCTGCCAGTTCATATCTCTGGAATTCCATCCCTAGATCTCCCTCCCTCTCAAACTGTTTCTTCTATGTTATTCTTTAAAGCACATCTTTTTGACCAAGTTTTTGGTCTCCCGCCATCGTATCTCCATACATGGATCTGTGTCAAATTTTGTTAATGCCTCTGTGAAGATTGTTTATACATTTTACTATGCTAAAGGGACAATATAAAATCCAGTTGGTGATTGCATTGGCTGTTTCCCTTTGGGTTTGTTACACTGACACTATGAAGGTCCATGTGTCTGTGACCTAAATCCAGTGTTTACAAAATATTCCAGCACGGAAGCAGACCATTCAGGCCAACAGGTTCATGTTGGTGTTTGTGCTGTGCACATGCCCCAAGGTCCAACCATCCATGTAATGTTCTATTTACTTCTTCCTGCATGTACTTGTCCAGTTTCACAAAAGATGAATCTATGTTAGTTATTTCAACTACTACTTACAGTAATGAATTTCATCATGTAACCACTCTCCAGTTAAAGAAGTTTCTCCCAAATTTCCTGATTAATTTATTGGTGACTTTTATATGATCATTAGTTCTTGTCATGCCTATAAGTGGAACCACCTTGGAAACTTGTTTCCTGTATGGAATATTATATAATTGAGATCTTTTGGACTTTTTTCTCCTACTAAATATTTTGTTGAGAAACAGCTTATTTGGAATTGTGATTCAAATTCATGTGATTACAAATGCTCCAAAAAAAGACAATATAAATTTAAATTGCTTACCTGCATGACTTTTGTAAAGAATTTCATTACTGTGCAACTGCCCTATTGGTGGAAGGTTCATTAAGGCTGAATTATTGTGCTTGTATATGGAGCGCAGATTGCAAAATGAAATGTTTAGCAGAAACAGACTATCCCATTACACAGGATGTTACTTTTTGTGGAGTGAGCTTCCTCTTTGAACCTAAATTTAAATAAGTCTTATTGAAATAATGGATTATATATTGCTACCAATATGATTTGTTGAATTTTACTGACCAAGTTCTAAGTAATTTAAGATTTTGTAATGTGGAAAATCAGTGTTAAAGTCTGCTTTTCTTTTGTAGTTAATTCAAAACCATTTTTATAAATTAGTAGAGCAACATTCAGATGCTAATTGTGGGTAAAGTGCAAAATTGATTTGATTTATTGTTATCACATGCACCTTAGTACTGTGAAAAACTTTGTTTTGCGATCAGTACAGGCAGATTGGAGCATACTTAGTGCGATGCATACGAGGTTACAACTGCACGGGTGGTACACAAGGCAAGATCAGTATTAGATTTGAAATTAGAGAGGTCCATTCAGCAGCCTAATAACAACAGGGAAGAAGCTGTTCTTGAACCTGTTGGTGGGTGTGTTCAAGCTTCTGTATCTTCTGCCTGACGGAAGAGAGTATTACCGGAGCGGGAGGGGTCTTTGATGTTGGCTTCCGTGATGGTCTGGGCTATGCACGTAACTTTATGTAGTTTCTTACGGTCCTGGGCAGAGCAGTTGCTGTATCACTGTGAAAACAACCAGATTAAGTTGGGGACATTGTGTTCTGTTGAATTCAGCTATTTTCAATTTGACAGACAAAATGCACATTGCTATTTTTTGGGGGAAGATTTACTTTGCATTTGGTCAGAGGCTGTTTTAGTAGTTGTTCCATGGATCAAAGAAACTATGCAAGTAAAATTGGCAGAAAAACTTACACGTTTGAAATATATAATGTCTCAGTTCAAGGAAGGGATGAATTGCTTTATGAATTATCTGGATCTTCTCAGAACACCAATAAGAGGCACAGAATCAATTTTAATACATTTTTCCAGTCCCTAGAGAGCTGAACTTGCCGAATCACTTTTGATGTCACATTTTCAAAATATTTTTACTGTAACTATCTTGTTTGAATTTCTAAAATAGGTTCAGAAATAAAAAGGTTGCCAAGTACGACAGTACTTTTCTTTCCTGAAAACTATTCTAGTTCTTGTCTACAAATGATTTATTGTTATTGCTGCCTGATATAACAGGAATTGGAGGCGATTGACATTTTTAACCCATTGGTTAAATTTGCACCTTTTTGAAATGTGGATGTGCTTCTAAATATTTGTGAAAATGTTTTTCTAATGATCCCTTTTATTTCCATCTTTTCTCTTGTTGGCTGTCATCCAGTGCCCTGGTAAATGAGTATTCTTCGTTTGTATGAGTTGACAAACTTTTCTATGGTATAAAGCATCGTAGTTGTTCGCACATCCCATAGGAATTTCAGTAATGAGTTTTCCAAGATCACTCTTCATTTAGTTTGCAACAATAACTGAGTAAAATTATTGATTGTTGAATAACTGATTTAAGCTAATGGTAACAGAGTATTAGTTTGAACAGCAATCATTTGTTAATTCAGTTTGTAATAGCTTGAGCTGTTAGCTGCCTTAATTAATATTTTTCTATCAATCAGGCTTTGACTGCAGCAGATCTCAATCTGGTACTTTATGTCTGTGAAACTGTGGATTCTGAACTTGTCTTCGGTCAGCATCCTTGTCCCCTGACCCAGCCAGTTTTGCTTTCACTTATTCAACAGCTTTCCACCGATCTCAATTCACGCACAGAACTAAAACTCGGGTAAGATGCAACTGAAAATTTAAAGCCTGTCAATGGCATTAGGAAAAGAAAGAAGGGCTGGCAATTCTGAAACAGGGTGCAATAGTATAATGGTTATGATACTAAATTAATAAGCCAGAAGATATATCTAATGATCTAGAATTCAAATGCCATCACAGCAGTGGTGGAATGAAAATCTAGTATCAATCATCATGATCATGAAACTACCTTTTGTTTTTATAAAAATAACTGGTTGCATTGATGCAAGGATCGAGAACCAGAGGGCACAGATTCAGTGTAACTGGCAAAGGAGACATTTTTACGCTTTCGTTGAAAGTGATAGGACAAATTGAGAGAGAGTAGGCAATGAAACTTGCTATTCTGTGTTTTAGACTAAGGGTCGTAACTTCATTGCTGTTGTATTTTATCTTAATAAACTGAATAAAACACTGGCTTGGCTATGTCTAGTTCTAGGCACTGAACTTTAGGAAGGATGCAAAGTGACAAGAGAGTGAATAACAGATTAATGAGAGTGATTCCAGGGATGACAAATTTCAGTCATGTGAATAGATTGGAAAAGACATGACTATAATTTTTAAATAGAAGGTTGAGACGAGGCTTCACTTATTTCTTTCTCTCTCCATTTGTCCTGCTTGTTTCAATGATTGATGTACACACACCTGAGTTCCTCCCCTTTGGAATTGCACACTTCTTTATTTCTGTGTTCTTTGTACCAAAATTACTTACTTGCATCTTGATGGCCAATTCCATTAACTTGTCAATGTCATTTTGAAGTTCTACACTATCCTCGTCACATCTTAGAATGCTTTGTCTTATGTGACACCTCCACACTTCTGTATCTGTAAAATCTTCCTTACTGTCCTGTTTTTGACAACATCCCCTTGATAAATTATGATCTCTCTACCTCAATTAGTTGGTACTGTTTTGGATTATTTATCACTTTGGTCAGACCCTCAGCATGCAACTCCTATACCTATTATGTTATTCCAGTCATTTGATTTGTCTCCAGCACTACCTTATTTTAATTTTTTTATCTGCAATTATCTCTCTGCCTTATTTATTTGGATTATAGGTCATCCCTTCACTTGTTATTCAGCTGTTGACACTTTACTCACACTGTCTGACACTCTTGATCACTTGCGGAGGCCTATTATTCAGCCTGTCCACTCATCCCATTTGTATGATCTTTTGAGCTCTCTGCCTATAAAGCCTGTGCCTTTGTGCTTCTCTCTCACTTCACCTGATAAAGGGGCAATGCTTTGAAAGCTTGTGATTTCAAATAAACCTGTTGGACTATAACTTGGTGTTGTCTGACTTCTGACTTTGTCCACTCCAGTCCAGTGCCAGCAGCCCCACATCTTTCCTTATCCACAAATATACATGAGATCCAAATACCAATCCTGTACAACTCCACCATCAAAGTTCATCTAGTCTAAAAAACCAACCATTCACCAATACTCTTTCTGGTTCTTGTCACTCCACCAATTCTGTATCCATTTTGCTACTGTCCTTTTATTCCATGAGCTGTATTAATCTCAAGTCTGTTTAGTGGCACTTTATCAAATATCTCTTGTATACACATCAACCCTTTGTGTTGCCTCATCAAAAAACTAAAACAAATTAATTGAACACTCTTAATACTCCTGGCATCACCTCAGCCTGAAGGAATTCACGTGATTAAAGTTCTGACTTTTGTTTCCAATGTTATTAGGTTCTTTTTTCAAACAAGGTTATAACATTTGCAATTCTCCAGTACTCGTGACATCACCCTGAATCTGTGAAGATTGGAAAATGATGACCAGTGCATCTGTAGTTTCCATTCTTGCTTCCCTTAGTATCTTTGCATGTATCTCATGTCACGTGCATATCCTGTGTTTTTTTTTAAGAAGTGGGATCCTCCTTCAGTGCTTTGTGGTAACCTACTTCATGACAGGAATGCACAGTCTAAGCTGGTACTTGAGTAAAATGCTGCATTGTCGGGGGTACGATCATTCAGATAAGATGTTAAACTAAGGCACTATCCCTCTGTTCAGGTGGATATAAAAATTCTAGGACATCATTTTAATAAGCACAAAGAACTGTCCTGTGGTAAAGCCTAACATGTACCCCTCCTGCAATGTTTGAAAAACACCCTGTATAGTTATCAATTCATTCACTATTTATGGCACTTTGTGTACAAAGTGCTTGCCATGTTTTTTATTCACATGACTGTAGACATAAATTAATTGGCTGTGTAATTACTTTCTGGATATCCTGATATTATGAAATACAATAACCAAATATAGGTTCCTTCCAGCTTTCTTTCAATCGCTGATTCTTGAACTTTGTAGCATTTTCTGTTTGAAAAACATTAGAAACACAATGTTATGTCTTTTCATATGTGTAAACTTTACAGTAACTAACCTCCAATTTAATTTCAGTTACCTGGAAGATGCAGTCATGAATCTAGATCACACAGATCCAGTTGCTAGGGATCACATGGGTTCTGTATTGAATCAAGTCAGACAGAAACTGTACCAGTTCAACCAGGCAGAACCTCACAGTAATGTGAGCAAAAGGGCTCGGAGACTTATGATGATGCTTCAAGGACTAGTGACTCCACTGAGTTAAACTGTACACGGTGGCCATTCCATGATCTGTAAGGAGTGTGCTATAATTATACAATTCATATAGCTGTATGTTCCTGATTAATCTTTTTTTTAAAAAAATGCCAAATTCTAGGGCTTGTGTGTCCGCGTCTGTGGTAAGAACATTATTTGGAACCACAAGTTCGAGCGGTAACCTGATATATAAGCTGCTTCCTACGTTTTTTTCAACTTACAGCTTCCTTCTAATCTGGTTAGCCTATTTTGTATAAGTATCTACTTGTATGTTCCCCAGGTTAAAAGTACCTATTTAAATATATATTAGAAAAAAAACTTCCTCTCCCACGGTTACATTTGTGAAGCAGCTGAGGCTAAGTAACCAACACAATACTACAAATTGAAACTTGCATGGTAGCAAAAATGTATCAAACAATATCCATAAACTCAATTGAAGAGTAGGCTCATATTCTCCCTGCCCCTGTTAAATTCCTTGAGGCACTAAACAAATTCTCATTTGGAAATTCTGACCTCAAAGCTATGAAGTTAAATACAGCTATCAGAAGTTGAGTAAGTATCGAAAAATATATTTTCAGACTATTTCAAATTAGTGTTGGACTGTTACTTGAGGTTTCTATCATGTTAGTTTAAGAAAAATATCAACAGCGACAAGTTTGTTTATTGCATAATGTTTTCATTCATTTACGATTTTGTTGTATTTTACATTTTTGCTTCCTTTTTATCTTTAATATGGAAACTCTTGTTTTGGATAATGTTTCAAAACTGTTCAATAAAAAGTTTGGAAATTATCTGGATTGGTTTTTCCTTAAATCATTAGCACTGATCTACATTTATTTTTACCAATCCAATTGATAGGTAAACTACTTGCCTTGTATATGATACTTTTGTAATTTTTTGTTGATTTTATGATGTTTGAAAGTTTAGGAAAACTTCTGTAGTCTTAATTTTAGAACTGTAATGTTTAAAATAAATGCCATATTTCAAACAAAACTCGTGGATATATGTTAAAAATTTTACAAGGGTAATGTGAAAATTGGCATAATGATTATTTAAGCAGTCAGTTTAATGGTATTGCTTAGGTAGATCTGGCCATTTGCACAGCATTATATTACTTTCAAACCCTAATATCCTGATTAGCTCACTGTTCATTTTCAGTTCCTAAGAATGTAAATAACTGAACAAGTGCAATCTGCAAAATAAACTCTATGGAGATAATTTGCCAAATACGTAAACTTCTGCCAGTAAAATATTTAGTGCTTTGAAGATGGTTCACCTGCTGCAAAGTTCATCGTTTGATTATTGCCAATTAATTCCGCATACTTACAGAAACATGTGGTTTGTAGCTAAAGTCTGAAATTGTTGGGAGTTAGTATAAAAGAAAACCCAGTGAATCCTGTATTCAGGATACCGACATTGTCACAATTTTGACATCCCAGTACCCAGAGACAGTTTCAAAACCCTCCATAGCAGCTGGTGGAATTTAAATTCAGTTATTAAATCGGGGATATAAACTAGTCTCAATTAATGATGTCATGAAATTACCCTTTGATTACCATTAAAAACCCATCTGGTTCATGAGCGTCCTTTATGGAAGGAAATCCTTCATCATTGAATTGTCTAGCCTACATGTGATTCCAGATCCTTAGTAAGGGGAGCCAATGGCCTCGTGGTGTTATCATTGGACTGTTAATCCAGAGACCCAGGTAATATTTCAGGGACCTGTGTTCAAATCCTGCCACGGCAGATGGTGGAATTTGAATTCAATAATCTGGAATTTAGAGTCTAACGATGACCATAAAATCATTGTGGATTGTCAGGAAAGACCCATCTGGTTCACTGATGTCCTTTAGGGAAGGAAACTGCCATCCTTACTTGGTCTGGCCTACATGTGACTCCAGAACCAAAACAATGTGGTTGACTCTAAACTGCTCTCTATGATGGGCAATAAATGCTGCCTACCCAGTGATACCTTCACCCATGAATGAATATTAAAAAGTAATGTGGTTGGCTCTCAACTACCTGCTTAAATGACCTACCAAGCCATTCAGTTCAAGGGCAGTTCGGAGTGAGCAACAAATACTGACCTTGCCAGTGATGATTACAGCCCATAAAAGAATCCTAACTTGGTAAATTTATTGTACAAATTTCAGGAGATTGAAATATCCAAAACAGTAATGTAATGATTTTCTGAAATAAAAATAAGAATTATTCCACAATGTAAACAAATTGGCACTCAGTTGAACACCGGAATCCAAGGGTGATGCAGAAAGTATGATGGGCTCCAACTGACCTCCAGCTTTTGTACTATATCTAAAGAACCAAGAATAGAGTAAAAGCTGCTTTTTTTTACAGAATTTAGACAAGGGATTTGGCACAGTGTAAGATGCTTCTAAAGTCTGAAAAGAGAAGAAAAGATGTAAAACATTGGATAGGTATTTCAAACCTTGAGATTTAAAAGCCTGCAGATTGTGGACGGAATGAAAAACATGCAGTGAATCTTTACTCAACAACGAACAATGTAGTTTAGTTCTTTCTAGGAGGATAATGCAGGCATGATCAAAAAGAATCGAAGAGCTGTCCAGAGAGATTTGCTACAGTATTTCATTTTTGAAAATTTGCATATTTTGCTGATGTGATCAAAAGAAATGGTAGTGTGGGTGCCATTTGGGAACTAATGCCAGATGGTGTTCTGCAGCAGACTGGCCAACATAAAGAATGCTAGAATATAGCTACTTGTTCTAAACACACTATATTCTTTGTCTTGACTGGTGGTCCTGCATGAACTCCACATTCATACATATCAAGATTTTGATTGTTTTTTCTGTTCTGTTTTTAATGGAATATCATTAAAAAGACTGCTACAGTTTACAATAAAAAATGATTTTTTGCTGTTACCCCATGCTTTTTGAGCAAGTCTGGAGATAAACAGCTGATATAATGCTGCTGTGTGACAGTGGTATCAGACATCTGGCATGCTAAGTTACCTATCAGTTTAGGTTTTATGTTCAATCTTACCATATTTTCTGAATGGAACCTTTAAATTACTACTAGTGCATATGCTTCAAAGATCTATTATGCATTTGCTAATAAATCATAGCAATATTTGTCTATTTTGTAAATTGTGAACTCAGTCAGAAGGGATTCCAGCTTTAATTCTGCACAGTTGTGTGCACTGAGCTGAAACTGATTTGAATGCTAGAAAGCAGTTATTCACAAGAAGTGTAACAATATGCAGAAATCTGTTCATATGTGATAATGTTAGGAAACCTCTCCCCACCCAAACCTCTTCAGTATTTCCATTCAAGTAACTATAGCAGCCTCATATGGAGTTGTGTTTACATATGAGATAAGGGATGTTTAAAGCATACTGCCAGTAGTACACCAACACTTGCATTAAGGTGCCAGTTCTATAGTAAATACAGTGAAATAGAACTGTATTGAATCATTAAGAAAAATAAATAGGTTGATCATGGAAATGGTGAAGGTATAGAATCAGTAATGAGGAGGCATTTTTTTTTGGTTGATATTGGAAAGATAAATTATTGGAAGTTGCTTTCCAAGGAGAAAGTTGTTTAAAATATGAAGTGCATTTGCTAAGGTGGAAGCTAAGGCAATTTGAAGAAATTACTCAAACTCTATTAGTGTATAAGAAATGAGACTCGGTAGATAACACCAGTGTAAAGCCAGCACAGACATAAGGAACTGAATGGCCTCCTTGCTACGCTATTATGATATTTGGATAAGTTGTGGGTTACTTCTGTTAAATTCTAAAGCAATAGCATCCGGTTGAACAGTATAGGTGACATGGTAAACTAATGGAACAAATACTTCAGTAGATTCTATTCATTTGGAGGTGTTAATTGGATCACTATCCAATATTGTTTATAATTTGTGGATATATTGTCTCTAATGGTTTGTAGCAGTCAGCTTACGAGGTGAATACTTTCATTAAAATAAATGTTTGATGCTATGCATCCCATAATAAACGTATTATGATTATAGAGTCATACAGCACAGAAACAGATCAGTCAGTCCACTAGTCCATGTCAAACATAATCCCAAACTAAACCAGTTCCACCTGCCTGCTCCTGGCCCATATCCCTCCAAACCTTTCCTATTCATGTATCCATCCAAAAGCCTTTTAAACATTGCAATTGTACCTGCATCCATCACTTTCTTGGGAAGTTCATTCCACACACGAATCACCCTCTGTGTTTAAAAAAAAAACAAAAAAAACTTGCCTCATGTCTTTTCTAAATCTCTCCTCTCACTTTAAATGTGTGCCCTAGTCTTGAAATTCCCCATCTTAAGGAAAAGACAACGACCATCAACACTTTCTATACCTCTCATTATTTTATAAACTTCAAACAGCTCACCTCAACCTCCTACCCTCCAGTGAAAAAAGTCCCAGCCTATCCAGCCTTTATAACTGAAACCTTCCATATCTGGCAACATCCTGGTAAATCTCTTCTGAACCTTCTCCAGCTTGATAATATCCTTCCGATAGCTGGGTGACCAGAACACAACTAATTTTCTTAAAGCAAGTATTATCTGAATTAATCTTTACTGAGGATGTGCGTTACTTGCTGAACTATTTATTGATGCACTGCAATTAAAATCTGAGTGATACAATTTTGCCCATCTGGCTCTTTGAAATGGTTATCAAATTACCTCACTCCCCTGCTCTTTCACCACCACTCTAATTTCAAATTACAATTCACTGCTTTCCTAAGATTGCCCCTGGTTCTTTGCCAATGATCTTAAGTCTCTGACCTCTGGTTCCTTACCCTTTCAACACCAGTAACAGTTTCTTGTTGATTAACCTATCAAAACCATTTGTGATCTTGAGCGTTATCAAATTTCTTAATATGCATTTCTCTAAGACCATGTACAGCATTTTCAATATTTACATGTAACTCAAGTCCCTGATTCCTCCTAGCATTCTAGTTCTTTTTTCTGTACCCTTCTATGGCCTTGACATCCTTCCTAATATGTGGTTTTCTGAAACTATGCCCATAATAGTCAAATCTAGGACCTAGAATGTCTGCTCTTGTGCATCAAAGCCTGACCGCTGGAAACATTATTGTATATGTCCCTCCAGTCTGGTAAACAATAATTTCTCACTACTATTTACTTATCCACAGTGTCATATCTCTTTTTGAACCCATGGACTTTACCTTTCCTATAAATCCTTTTGAAAGTCCATATACAGAACATCAACTGCAACTGTAGCACCCACGTTGTTCTAATTGATTAATAGAGAGAGGCAAAAGTATTTCACATGCCACTACTAAAAAGCCTCGCACTGTGTGCCTAATTGCTTCACGTGTGGAATTAACAGACAATCTGCCTAATATTCTCAGTATCGGTATCTGTGTAAAGAAATGGCAGGCTATGAATTTTTGGGTAGACTGTCATTGAAACAGAATTCCAGACAGAAGATTGAGAAACCTACCAATGTTTCTCCTAATGCTAAATTCCAAAACTCACTCTGTAGATTTTCTCCCCTTCCCCAGTAAAGATTCCTGTCCTCTTTACTCCCACCCTTTCTTCCTCTCTCCTTCCTTAGCCTCCGCCCCCCCCCCCCCCCCCCCCCCCACCACAGAAATTTCTGGAGACAGTAAACAGTAAGACCACTCTATTGAGTATTGAGATGTTAGTAGCAGGGCCCTGTCTGGCCTAAAGTGGACATAAATGGATCCATTTCATTACTTGAAAACAGAACAGTGAAGTTACTTATTGGTCACAACCAAGAATAACATTTGCATCACACAAGTGCTAGGAAATCATCATCTCCCACAGGAAGGAATCCAATCAGCTGTGACATTAAATGGCATTTCCATTATTGAATTCCCCCCTATCAACATCCTGGGGAGTTAGTAACAACCAGAAACTGAACTGTATCACTATATAAATACTATGGTTACAACAGTCGGCAGTGCCTTGAAATTTTGTGACCAAATAATTCACGTCGTGGTTCCCCAAAGCCTGACCACCATCTACACAGCCTAAGTCAGTAATGTGATGGAATAGGCAAGATTCAAAGAGCTTGACACCCTACAGGACAAAGTACCCCACAAACATCTTTAGTATTTACTCACTTTACCATTGATGTGCAGTGGTAATGTTCATCATTAACGAGATGCACTGCATTAGATCTCCAAACCCGTGACCTCTACCACCTAGAAGGACAAGTGCAGCAGATGCAAGGGAGGACCACCACTTGCAAGTTCTTCATGCCGTCTTTTTGAAGGCAGTTGGGAATGGGCAATAAATAAGTCTAAAACTGCTCTAGAGCTTGAAGGCTTTACTGTCTGTCCCATTTCGCTGACTACGGAGAGGCAGTGGCCTAGTGGTATTATCGCTGGACTGTTAATCCAGAGACAGGATAACATTCCAGTGGATCCAGGCTCGAATCCCACCATGGCAAATGGTGGAATTTGAATCCAATAAAATATTTGGAATTAGAATCTAATGATGACTGTGAATCCATTGTTGATTGGAGGGAAAAACCCATCTGGGTCACTAATGTCCTTTAGGGAAGGAAGCTGCCATCCTCACCTGGTCTGGCCTACATGTGACTCTCAACCCACAGCAATGCGGTTGACTCTGAACTGCCCTCTGGGCAATTAGGGATGGGCAATAAATGCTGCCTGGTCAGTGACGCCCTCATCCCGTGAACGAATAAAGGATGTAGCCAAAGGGAATGATTACCAGTTGAAATAAGTATAGTTCCAAGGGAGAGTTAGAAAATGCTGGCTAGAAGTGTAAAAAATATGTATCAACAACCAGTCTGCAGTCAATTTAAATGGCCTGAACCTGCCGTGTGTGTTCCGGGGTGGGTTGGGGCTATTGGTGGGATGTAGGAAAACAGAGCAGGACTGCTCCTTACTGTGACAACAAGGTGCAGAGCTGGATGAACACAGCAGGCCAAGCAGCATCATAGGAGCCGGAAGTTCCTACGATCTCTTCTCCTGACTGTGTCCGTCTTCAGGAGGATCAGCTACTTGGAGAGCTCCCTGCTGCTTCCGGCCCAGCGCAGCGACCCCTGTCCACGTTCATAGGCAGGATTTAATGGTGAAATTAAGTCCAAAGCACTTTTTAAAAACAACAGTAATAAAGCAACCGGTTAATTATCACTATTGATGTGAGAGATTTTTTGGCACCACTGCTGTCCCCCACCCCCGTAAGAAAGCAGAGAACAGCAGCAGAGATAGTAGGAACTGCAGATGCTGGAGAATCCGAGACAACA